GGCGGTGGGAGCGCTCCGCCGGGGACTGAAGGCGCGGTGCTAGCGCGAAAACGCGGCGCGGAGCCGGGAGCGGCGCCGGCCGCCAGGGGGAGCCCGGCCCGGGGCAGCGCCCGGCCCGCGGAGGGAAGGGGAAACACCCCGAAAGCTCCCTCCGCGCCACCCCGTGAAGGGAATGGAAAACCCCCCCAAACCCGCCCCGCTGGGAGGGGAGCTCCGGGTCACCCCGTGGAGGGAATGGAAAGCACCCCAAAACCTCCCTTGTCACCCTGTGAGAGGAATTAAATGCACCCCCGAATTCGTGTCCGTTATGAGGGAAGCCTTCAGTGCAGGCCTGCCCGTGCTCTCTCAGCGCCTATCCTGTGCCACCCTGTGAAGGGAATAACACCCCCCCGCAAACCTGCCCCCGAAGTGAGAACACCCCCCCAAGCCTACCGCACTGGTGTGTGCACGCCTGGCCCTCCAGCCAGGCGGCTCTGGTGGAAGTTTGCCCGAGGGCCTGCGCCTGCTCTGACCCCAGGCCTGCCTCAGCCGCCCCTCTGCACGGGTTTCCCACCCCCTCCTTGCCAAGGAGGGCAACAAGAAAAGCGACCCCGAGCCCCGTTCCTGCTCAGGCTTTCCATCGCTCCCCTGCCCCCAGTCCCGGCTGTATGTCCTCCCATTAACCCTGTGGAGAGAGGACAAAAGCTAAACTCTGCTCTGGCTGTAGCTTCCTCCAGCCCATTGCCAGCGACACAAGCCTCACATCCTCCCGCGAAGGCTGGGAGAGAGGAGGACGAGAGCCGCTGGTGCTTGTGGGCCTTGCTGTGCTTCTCCCCACCCCCTCTCCCGGCCCCATCCCCCACTGCAGCTCCCATGCACGAGCATCCCTCCCATGAACACTGAAAGGGGAGGACAGGAGCTCTGATGGGTTTTTCTCAGGCTGACTGTGTTTCTTCCCCTCCGCCAGCCGCTCCCCAGCTCCAGAGCCTTGCCGAAGTGTCAACCCCACTCAGGGCCCTGCCTTCGTGCCCCCTCCTAAGCCCTGAAAGGAAAACTGACGATCCTCACATTTTCTTATTCGCGACAAAAGCTTGCTAGGTTTTTTTTATATCTATATCTATATATATATATGTAGGGTTGTGCTAAAGGTTTCAAAACAATATTTGGCTGTATAAAATACTATCCAGCCCTTAAGAAGTCCTAGACATGGGCCTGTTTTGGCCTTAAAGTTCTCCCCTCACTTTTTCCCCTGGATCAGTGAAGGTCAGTTTAACCCCTTCTATTTTGAAACCATTCCTCGTTTTAGGAGGAAGCTGCATTTTTTAAGTCATGGCTGTGCCGCTGTTTGATGGAGTGGTTTTTTGGTCGGTGTGGTCATTAAACCAGATAATCACACACGTTGAGGAAGAAGAGCGCTTTGGAGCTGATTAAAGTCATGTAGGAGTTAATGCGAGACTGGCAGGGTATGTGAAGCAAGAGAGAATCTTTAACCAGCTCTGCTGTTCCTTCCACATACCACAAACTTGGAAAGCGAAGATGTGAGTGTTGAATGCTGCAGCAGGAGACTCGTGTAATTGCATCGCAGGTGGATGCTTACTCATTTCATGTGTTATCGTATTCAGAGTACCTGCAAGTTTATCTAGGATTTTTTTTCTCCCTCCCCACTGGAAGCATGTTGCAAGACTTCATATTTGTTGAGCTTTATTTTCAACAGTTTTGATCTCCCCCACCACCACCCTCATAGTATCGCATCTGTTTTATTTTGCAGATTTGCCTGTGCTGGGGGCAAAGTATTTGTGGAAACATCCTAGTTTAGGAACTTTCTGCCTGGGGATCCTGTTGCCAGAAGAGATAAGATCAAAGCCCAGCCCGACTGTATTTAGGCCTACATGTAAGACCCGCCTTTTTAAGAAAACCCCAGGAACTGGATGCTAATAATTAAACAAAAATAAAACTCCTTCACTGTATACACCCCACTTCCATAGAAGTGAACCATTTTTGTTATGCTTCTTCAGACTTCTTTATTTTGTGTAGTGCTGAGTACCAAAGCAAAAATTGACTTAGGAATGCCTAAATAGTATAAATGACTTTATAACTTACTTATTGAAGAAACTGTGTCTAGTCCCCAACAGGAAATACTCTAATGATCATTTTAATCAAGAGGACCGAAGGTTTTATGCCTCCGCTTCTCCCAACACCTACTTTTCTGTAAGTTTCTTATTCAAATGTTGAATCCTCTTTCAGTATATTGATCAAGTATTTATTAGTATCTCTAAGATTTGTTCATCTTTACAGAGAGGATGGAGTTTGTTTACTAAGATGGTGTCATGATGTTGGGGAAATGTAATTTAAAAGTTTTCTTATAGACTCCATATTCTTTGTGTTGGTTATTGGAAAGGTATACTGTAGGAAATGGAAGTGATAAACAAATTTAATGTTAAAGAAAAGCTTTGTAATAAGAGGGTGCTTTTGGGTAAGAGGATCTGTTTGAGATTTTTTTAAACTAAAAGAAGAAAAAAATAGGAATTCTTCCACCATTTGTAAAAATATTTTGGTTCAATATTCTTTCAGGGAACTGAAATATGATTTCATCTAGTCTGCCTATGAACATCTGCTGAATAGAATTAAAAAGGCTATGACTTTAAGTTCAGTTATGTTGATATGGTTTGAGCTGGAATTGGCCAAGGCAAAGAAGTGAATTAAATGTATTTGTAAGTAATTTCTCATTTTTTTAGATAATGAGCTTGAATGTATTTTCAAGCGACAGAAAAACTTACTTCCTAGTTCTTAAGTGGAGCTCCTACAGACTTTAAAGTGGACCATGGATTCCTACCCCTTTGCATCTGTTTAACTCTGATCAGAATTTTGGGGGGTAAATTTTCAGGTTTTAATGTGTAATGGGAATGTTTTGGGGGGGCTTGTTCTTTCCATGACTTATTTTTATATAAATAATTAATGCAACGGGACATTTCCCAGCAATATGGTCAGTTGCTTATGCTTACATCTCATCTACCTGCCTTCAGTGCTTTTTCTAGAAATACAGCCTCTTTGACCATCCATAGAAAGTATTTCTTCAATATCTTCTACATTTGGCAGTGTTTGTGGATTTCTTTCTCCTTCGTATTTATTTCTCTTTCTTTTGATTGCCTTTCTGCAGTCTAATGTTCTTTTTCTAAGCATGGGGGCTGATGAATACTTCAGCTAGAAATTTAGGTCATCCATGATGGAAGGGAGAAAGGGAGTGCTAAAGTAAAAATCCATTTTTTTTTTCAATTTCCTTTATTTCCATTTCTTAAAAAGATTTGTTAGTTTGAAATCTCTTTCTGTTTTGTTTTTTCTCTCTCTCCTGCTGTATAAACTAGGACTATATATGTTGTGAAAGCTGTTTAGGGCAAATGATACTGTGATTTCAGAATCAAAGCTAAGGGTGTGTGTGTGTGTGTGTGTGTGTGTGTGTGTGTGTGTGTGTG